GAGACTTTACATTTTCAATTCTCGAGGTACAAAGGAGAGTTTGTGTGACACTGGACACTTAGGGCATCTATGTGATGTTTTTTGATACTCATGGAAGAGTGGATCATTATAAAGTGGTTTCATTTTTCACCCCTGTCCTGAGGTTAGGAGAGGACCCTTCCTTCAAAAGTTCCTTATCATGTTACATTTTGTGCTTACTCAGATTTGTTATCTTTTGTAATGGACATACAAATCGGAGTTTAAACATGCATGACGTAGCTGATGCAAATAGGTGCAAATATTCAGAGCCAATCACAGCACTGGATTTGCTGGAGTTAATGTCTCAAGGGCTGACGACTTGAAAGCGATTCAAATCAAGGCATTCAATAGCTTCAAAGAGGTTCAAAACATCGTGTTCAATGGCTTGAAAGCCATTCAAAGCCATTCAATTCAAAGCCATTTAAACCATTGTATTCAACAGCTTCAAAGCAGTTCAAACCATTGGGTTCAAAGTCATTCAAACCATTGTATTTAATGGCTTGAAAGCGATTCAAACTAAGGCATTCAATAGCTTCAAAGTGGTTCAAACCACAGTATTCATTATTTTGTTATATATTTCAGTACAGTGACACAAACAATGACTGATTTAACATTTTTCAGACTCATTATAGTCTCTGCTTGAGAAACAAGCAATAGATCTTCACATTTCACTGCATTTCACTTCAATTTCTTCATTCTGAGCATCTTAAAATAAAAGCTATTAATGCAATTGAGGTTTTCCATCATTACAGTATATTAATCCATATTTCGACTTTTTCAACTTTTGAGCATATCAAAAATACATGATAGATCACACATTAATGCTCTGCAATCAGAGCTGCATGCAGACCATTTTCCGTCTCAAAAAAGAGAAGATTTGAGGTCACAGAATGTATGAAGATGTCAGCCACTCAAATTCTCACACTTTAAGGTGCCACAATGCGCAAATAACACCAAATTATGGCATTCACACTGGCACATCTAGCTAGATGTGCCAGCATGCATGTCATAGTTTATCGTTGTTTGTAAACAATGAGAGTTTAAAATTAAAACCACATGAAACTGCACAGACTGAGAATTGACTTCAAACTTCCAGGACACTTATGTCCCAGATAGTATCAACCATTCTATCCACTAAACCATCTGCTGTTTATGATTAACACAGCCCAAATATAATATACAGTGATTAACAAAGCTACACATATATTTTCGTGATTTATACTGTTTTTCTTTCACCTTCAGATTTTCTGTAGCTATATTCAAAGATAAAAGAAAAGTAGAAAGCCATACTTCTCAGCTTTCAAATGAGTATCTGTTGGCTGAATTGTGATGATCTGTTCTGAAGATATATACAACTCTATCAGATGAACTCATTTATACACTTTAGTTACTAACAAACTTCAAAAAAACTCTATTAGTTGAATAATCAGCTTTTTGCCTCGAACACTGCCTTATCCCATTCATATATCAAATTCTGATGCACAAACCTGTCAATACTCTTTTATTTCTTTTTGAATTGCTTTCACAATTCTGTAATCTCTCTAAGTGGCTCCTCATGCCTTGCTAATCATTTTATGAGATACCTTCAAAGATGATCTATAAAATTGAGCTCTGATAATTGATAACGCCATATCATTGTCTTAATAACATTCTTTCTAAGTCAGCCAAGTCATGCTTGAGATTATTATCTTGCTGAAACACCATCTTCTTCACTTTTGCTGCAATGCTTCAAGCCATTTTGAAGCTCATTTCTCAAAATGCTAATATAAGGTCAGATTCATCTTGCCATCAGTGTTAGAGGTATATCTCATTATAATAGAAAGCTCTTCTGAGGTCACTCTGAATATTTCAATGCAGTTTGAAATGGCAGATATCTTGCAGTTCTGTCAAGGTTCATGACATTCTGGAGGAGGAGATTGAATGCCCAGAAAGTGTATCAGAGTGCTTTAGGGGCCTGAAAGGTGGCTTTTTGACATATTACACATTGCAGGCTCTCCAGCATTTCCTATCACTGAAAAAGATGAAACAAATATCTACAGCTTGTGTTCTGCTATGTTTCAGTCTTCATCTTCCAAAGTTACCATGCAATTTCATTGTCACCTCTGCAATGTAGTCATGAATGCAGATGATGCTTCCATTTATCTGTTAAGCTAAGTTCCTCAAAAAATACAAAGCTTTCAGAATGGTTGCGAGCCCTTTTTCTTATAAAAAACTGACTTTGCATGTCAAAGCTGCAATAAAAAACTGGTCAGAAGATATGTATTTGTCAACATCCCTAACTTCTGAGCATTTATAACAAATCAGAAGCAAATTCAGCTAAATCCTGCTGTGTACATTGAAGAACAAGGCACAAGATATCACTTGTGATGAGTTTTCATTTCACTGCAAGGATTGTTGACATGAATGGTCCAACACAGTACAATGATGGAACTGTTACAGGTAATACTCCAACAGTAGAATACCCAGTGAAGATGGCACACCCTACTCTTCTCAACAAAGCACATAGCAGATTTAGCTTTGTAGCAATCTACTTTAAACTCTGCTTAACCTAACCTTCAATAATGAAAACACAGTCTGCTACACACCATTGCCTTTCAACTGTCTTCTTCACCATAAAATAATCTCACTCTAAATATAGCTGCTTTTCGAACAACTATACCATCCCTCAATCAATGTGGTGAATATCATGATAAATTTATTAAAGTCCATTATGTAGAACCTCAGAACCTCAGGAATCGTTCCTGCCCCTCTTACCCAAGTTTAGATAATTTCCTGGACTTTCAGGACTACATATGTAACATTATGTGACAAACAAAATACAAAAGTGTCAGCAAATACTGAATGAAGACTCTGAGCATGATTACAATTTAAGACCACAGAAGGGCTTGATGAGACATCCAGGCCATAATTATTGATGTCACATCAATGCTTCACACATTTTACAAAATTCTTCAAAAATAAAAGTACAATCACAGTATCAACTAATTATTTTGTGCAATATTAGCCATTCCTCTGTCTACTCTGGCAGTGCATAAGAGTCTTAATTGAACGTTAGATAATAGGTGTACTGGCAATTCTGATGATGATTTCTGATACAGTTGACAATAATGTTGAAGGCTGTGAAGATACATTCACGGCCACCTTCATCAAGTATAAGAAATCGTCATTTGTTAAACAAGTGCCTGATGCATCAGGCTGATAAACTGTGTCTGCAACAGAAGAATCCCTCTTAGGGTGCTTGCATTTTTGGTGTGGGCTTTTTTGATGTTATCTACAATTCTGCTTTATTTGACATCAGCATATTAAAAATTACCAACATTTCCACCCTGATGATCACACTGGGTCAATGAAACCCATGATCATCTGTAATATCTCATCCTTAGCAAACATCAAGTGAGCTGTGATGTAGTTCTGCTACTGGGCCTTGTGAACTAGTCATTAGAAAGTGTTTTCCAGACTGGAGGCTTGTGCAGGCCACAAGAATGACTTGATCTCTATTATATGTGAAACTGCTGATCTTTCTCTGACCATATCTTCTTCTTGAACACTTTCATAATAAATACCTATCAGATAAATGATGTCCAAGGTTTGCTTTGATATGCTGTCAAATCCATGTAGAGAAACTAAATGCACCTGATTTATATCATCATCTGAGAATGTAGAATTTTGTACTGTGTTATACAATGTTGTTTGGGCCTTTTTTTGATGAAATTGCACTAAAAGAATACTATCAGCAGCTTTGAATGTGCATATGTCAATAAGTACATGAGCTTGATTCCTCATGCATAACTGCAAGTTGAGAATAATGTATAAGTGCAAATTGCCGTTCATTCTGGTCCTTTTTCAACAGCGAACTCTTCAAAGAATGGTGTCAAAGGTTATGGAATGCAGGTGATCAACAGTCAGATTATGGAGGGCCCTCTCAATCTGCTAAGCTAATTTTCCTTCTGCATCCTGCAATGCTCGACGAACATAATCACTACATGTAGGCATTATGACACCAGCTGCTGGCTCAGGCTATTCACTTTATATTGATAGTAGGCTTTTGAGCAATGGTATGCAAGCATGTTCACACTCTAGTTGTGCTACATGATGTATGCTCAAATAAAGCATCTGACGTCGCTCATGTCCACTAGGCTTTTGCTTGAATTGCTGCCGGACACGATGTCACTATGACTGTTATCATTCATCTGTGAAAATAACAGTCATATAATGTATCCTTATGTACAGTGACCCACACAACTGTTGATAAGGTTGCTCGAGCTGTATGGTCAATATCTCCTAAAACAATGGGTCAAATAAATTGTATGAGAGATTGTTTGAACCATCATAGCTTTTCAATAAATTTTGGTCATATTTTAGCATATTCTGGATATATAATACTCTTTAAGGGTCCCTCTTCACACAAAGTTCTCGGAAAATTGTGATTCTTGACGTGTTGACCAGGGTTCATTGTGGGAACATTGATTGATGTTCATGTTTCAACTTGAACAATGTACAAACAGCCCATACACAACTCTTCACACGCAAACAACATCATGCCAAAAGCCGTTGCTACTGAAACTGTCAACCATGTCATCGCTTTGCTTCAGAATGGCAAATCTGGTCAAGAAATTGAAGCGTTGACTGGGCTACACTACTCGACCATCAGTAAACTACGCTTCACACACTGTCTCACCATTTCTAAGGCCAAAGGAGGACGACCTTCCCTTCTTTCTACTGCCAATCTTCGCTATGCTACTCGACTCATTGGGACTGGCAAGGCTACCACATCTCCTGCTGTGGCCAGAGCTCTTGGAGATGTTACAGAGACGGTGCGAAGAGTTAAGAAGGCAGGAATGAAGGCTGTAGTGAAGCGAAAAAGGCCTTTACTCTCTACAAGGCATCAGAAGGAGAGGATGGACTTCACTTTGGCTCATCAGTATTGGACTGTAGAGGACTGGAGAATGGTGGTATGGTCAGATGAGACAAAGATTAACAGGATGGGGTCAGATGGAAGGAAATGGGTGTGGAAGAAGCCAGGGGAGAGCCTCAGTGATAGGTTGGTGGAAGAGACTCAGAAGTTTGGAGGTGGATCCTTGATGATGTGGGGCTGTATGCGCCGGGATGGCCTGTAATATCGATTGCAGGATGGATACAGACCTTTATGTCAGCATTTTGGAGGATGAGCTGCAGAATAGCCTGGAGAATTGGGGCAAAACTGTGGAGGATGTGGTGTTTCAGCAAGACAATGACCCCAAGCACACCAGCAAGAAGGCCAAGGATTGGTTCAAAGACCATGATTTCAACACCATTCTATGACCCTCTCAATCCCCAGATCTCAATCTGATAGAGAATTTGTGGGATCACCTCAAAAAGAAGGTTGCAGAGTATCAGGAGCCACAAAAGGGAATTACTGAGTTGTGGGAAAGGGTAGAGAAGGAATGGGAGACTATTGGGAAGGAAGTGTGTCAGAATCTGATTGAAAGTATGCCAAGGAGGGTGGATGGTGTAGAACCTGAATATTGTGCCAAACTGTTGATTAGAGTGGCCCTCAAAGAGTATTATCCTGGCATCGAAATGTGTTAAAATATGATCAAGATTGCATTGGAAAGCCATGATAATAGCCTTCCAAATGAGTCCTTACGCAATTTATTTGACTCAAAGGAAACATGGGCAAGCACTTGATTGGCTATTTTTCAAGTGGCAGCTTCTCAACCATCAATGATATATATTGCGATTTCTAAGGTATGAAGAAAGAGTTTGTACAGGACTGAGCATTTAAGGCATCTATGAAGCGTTTTTTGGTCCCTGTGGGATACTTAAACAAAGCGTGGAACAGTGGACCATTAAAAAGTGGTTTCATTTTCCGCCCCTGTCCTGAGGTTAGGAGAGGGGCCTTCCTTCAAAATGTTCTTACTACATAACGTTTTGCTGTTTGTTATCTTCTCTAATGAACACACAAGCCGGAGTTTGAACCTGCACGACATGGCTGATGCAAACAGGTGCAAATATTCAGAGCCAATCACAGCACTGAATTTGCTAGGGTTGATGCCTTAAGAGCTGATGGCTTCAAACCACTGTATTCAATGGCTTGGAAGTGATACAAACCATGGCATTCAATGGCTTCAAAGTAATTTAAACCATTCATTCTACATCACAAAATTTCACTTTTTATTAGCACATAATCATTGCCTCGCTGGTTTTGACGTAGCCGTCTGCACCTACCTCCTCTTTGCTGAATGCAATCTTTTTGGTAATTCCTTCATTATGCATATCGACAATGATCGCCATTCTTTTCTAGACGAGCTTTGAGCACAGTTTGCTGACTGTACCTGTGGGCGGTGTACCATACCTTCAGGATTTTCAGTATTTCAGAATTAGCCATAGGATGAACAGACTCAGCATAGAGATGGGTTGGCCTAAGCAGTTGTCAACCCTTTTATTCAGTCCATCCACGACAGACTGAGACATTATTAAAGTTGAATGCAGTGGTTGCATGTTTCAGATGCAAATGCAATCACAACATTTGCTGATGTCGGTTACTTTGCATAGGACTTAGATGAGGTTGTTTGTCCTCATAGATCAGGCGACAAATGCAAACTCAACACTGTCTTAGGCTGTCATTACTGAGATATAGTGCGGAGTTCCCAGCGTCGTGAAGCAAGGGATGTACTTGTCATCACATTATCTCCATGCTAAATTAGTGAAGCTGCTGTCACCTGCTTTCTCCTTTTCTTTTTTAGTGTCAATGTCTGTAGCGCACCACGGCATCAATTCGATATAACACGCTGGAATCATTGGACAACTACAGGATAATCTTAGCAAATTCTGTGCTTTTATATGCATTGTAGAATGGTGTGGTCAGCAGTAGGAAGCAAAATTTGAAAGGCGGTTCATACGAACAATGGCACTTGCATATTCAACAGCACCGGAACGAGGCAGCAGCTTGGATTCATAAGGATATATCAAAGTGGCTGGTTTGCGAAAATGCGATTTGAGTTTGGGATCGTAGGATTCTGAGCACAAACATCACCCGGATCAAATCAAGACGACAATGGGATTTGGTATGATCCTTGACTATTCGAACAACACGGCCATCCACGCTCAACAATGGGACGCACATGTGATTGCTCATTTGATATTATCCCGGACCAGCATAGAGAAAATGAGACGACTTGCGAGACAGAGGCCGCGTGGCAGTAATGGTCGACTTCCATCTAGATATGTGGCATTATCGCAGCCTGTGTTGACAATAAAGCTGACAACGCCAGACATAATGAAATTCATCTGACCCAATTCACATATCTAGATTGTTGCGAAGCCATAGAAAAGAGAGAGCTTTTAAGGACTCAGCCTCAAAGCGAGAAGCGAGAGACCACGTCAATGATCCAAACTGTTCTTTGAAGATATCGTTTATGATTCCGTCTTCCTGAGGCATGGGTATCGATGCATAATTCAGGATGCCGCGTTTGTCAGCTGGCCCTTCAAATTTGATGATTGCTTAATATTAAATTATCAGTTCTCGGACAGTATTCAGCTTCTTTCCCACCATAATAGGATACAACCAGCCACTCTTGTCTGCTTCAGCCAGTCAGTTTTGGCTTCATTGAGATACTGTTTGACATGTCAGAAGTGGAAATCGAAGCTCAAAAATTCCTGAATTTATGTGAAATATTCAATAAATGTATTTTGGAGACGGAAAGCTGCTAAGCAAACAAACACTAACGGCTCTAAAACTCATTCCCACCTAAGGGCAAACTATGAACCATTGGATAACGGACAACCAGTATGCTATTTGCCCAAGCAAGTAGGAAGTAAGGATGAGAAGACAATTGTTGAGCTTATTAGGGGTGTTCCATTGTGATCTCTGAGGAAATAATGATGTCCAATAATTGTGATCACTTCACTACTGTATGGCTTGGTTTCAAAAGGTTGAATGTTCTCAACTTTAAACAAAAGTCTTACAACAAATTCAAACAAGAAGTCTTACAAACAAGTGAGATCAGGATACGTTCGCACAATCTTTAACGGATTGAAAGATTGATCGCATAATAAGTGGTGCTATGATATCACCAGACTCCTTTGAACAATCCTTGTCGGCTAGCAAAAAGCAAATTTCATACCAGACTCTCCACCATGTATTGTAGAAAACTGAGTTCGAGTTTTGTGAGTGACGAGACATCAGCAATGTTGCGAAAGTTATATCTTCTCATTGGTCTTTCGTGATGTGTTTGACAGCCAAAATAAGTAAGACTTCCTCGGGCTTGTAGTACTTCAATTATTTTTCTATTGTCCGTACAGTCTGGCTCGAGAGGATGCTGGAATCATAAACTGCGCTATATAAGTTGGCAGTAGCTGCTACATGGACATGCTGCCATCAGGCACTTAGCTTTCCATAAATCATTGCTAACAGTAAACGATGCCTTGAATGGATTATAAACAATGTGATCTCCTTTGGTTTTCATTGAATCAGTGATTTTTGGCATTCTCAGATGTTTTGACAAGTTTGGCTAGCATTGATGAGGGACTCGCTGTAGCCTTTACTCAGTTTAACATTAGCTGCATTCCTCAGTTATAATCATGTGATTAGAATGAAATGATAAGATTGAATTGTTACTGAGAGTTAGTCATTAAAGTACATCAGTCATACAATGGCATAATCATTATGAACATTAGCAGTTGTGATTAGTTTCGTGATAAATGTTAGCAAACCTTGCGCTTCAAACACACTTCAGTAGAATAAACACCAAGCACACAATGAGTCAACGAACTCAGCATTCATACTGCATAATCGATTGCAAAGAGTGCACGTTAAAAGACACCAACCTCTAAGTGTCCATGCAATTTGTTTTTATAATTACTGGGATATGAACGAGTGGTTTATGCATCGATACTGAGTTTTTGTCATCCCCATGGGACAGTTGAAGAAGGTATAGGACAGGAAGCCTTGACAAAGTGATTTCATTTTGTGTCCAATCCTGAGGTTAGGATACCGCACTTCGTACAAAATGTTCTTACTGAATTTAATGAATTTACAGTTTGCTCTACTCTTGTTTACTTGCAGAAGAGGGCAATGTCTGGCGGGAATGATTCGTGACCTGATGTTCTTCGTAATTATATTTATAAGGTTATCATGATACTCACCACATTGATTGAGAGGTATATATTGTCATCTCCATTGAAATGTCAGTCCTTTTGGGAGAGGTTAAGCATGGCGTGATTGTTTAATATGCAGCTGTATTTAGATTGACATTATATTATGACAAAGAAGACAGTTGAAAGGTGATGGTGTGTGGCAGACTGTATTTTCATTATTGGAGATGGGGTTCAGTAAAGTTTAGTGTAGATTGTCACAGAGCTAAATCTATCATGTGCTTTATTGAGTAGAGCATCTTCACAGGGTCTCCTACCTGTAACAATTCCGTCATTGTACAGTGTTTGACCATTCATGTCAACAATTGTTGCAGTGAAATAGTACGACACAAGCGATATTTTGTGCATTGTTTTTAAATGTACACACAGCAGGATCTAGCTGAATTTGGTTCTAATTTGTTATAAATGCTAAGAAGTTAGGGATGTTGACAAATAGATATCTTCTGACCAGTTTTTCATGATAGCTTTGGCGTGTGAAATGAGTTTTTCGTGGAAAAAAAGTTTCCGCAGCGATTCAGAAGGCTTTTTATTTTTTGAAGAACCTCTTCAGAAGATAAACTGCAGGTTTATAAATAAATAGAAGCATCTTCTGCATTCATGACCACATTACAGTGGTGATTAAGAAGTTTGATGGTAATGTTAGAAGATGAAGACTGAAACATAGCAGAACACAAGCTGTAGATATCTGTGCCATCTTTTCAGCGATAGGCAATGCTGCAGGATCTGTAATGTGTAATATGTAAAAGAGCTTTTCAATATCTCGAACTTGATTGAGGTCATCATTCAAATCCATAAAGCCCTACCCATGCCCTTTCTGGGCATTTAATGTTGACAACACTACAAGGTATCTGCCATTTTGAGCTGTGTCAAAATATTCAGAGTGACCTCAGGAGAGCTTTCCATTATCTTGAACTTGGTTTGCAAATCCTGGGTGTAGCCCTCACAATTATTTACTCTTTTAAGCTGAAAGTCTGCTATATAAAGATAGATATAATCTCATTCACCATGCTCATTGAGTATGTTGTAGGATATGTAACCCTGATGCACTATACAAATCATACTTTGAAACATGAAACATAGCATGGGTAGAACTTGTCTGGCTGAACATATTCAGATATACCATATCATCAAGGTGGTAAAAGATCACTGATAATGTGGAGTTGTAT